AAAACTTTTTTAAAAACTTTGTAAAAATTAGATTTCTGAAAATTGTTGATATTTTTGAAATGTTTTATTTTTTTTGAAAAAATTGATCTTTTTATTATATTTTGAAATTTTTTAGACAATTTTGAACTTTATTTCAAAACAATCGCGCTGGGAAGCTGTTTCAAAGAAAAAATATAGAATCGCGTAAGCTTCGCGTCACCGTCTAACGGATAAACATTGGTACGGAACCCATAGGAATGTAAACAAAATTCATACTTATTGTAAAAATCTCTATAAAATATCTGATAATTTGATGTGCATATGTCTAATGATCATTTTTGACCGCCAAATGACTTTTTTTTTTACTTTTTTCATTAGATCTTCGAAACCGCTAGACCTGCCTTTATGAAAATTTGATCAATTCTTCATCTTGTCAATACAAGTAAAATGTTTTTTTGAATTTTTAAAACCGTGTTACCGTTTTTGGCACTTTTTGCCCCGTATCTTCGGAACGGCTAGACCTGCTTTCGCCAAAAACTAATCAGCACGTCTCCTTATCAATACGAATCGAATGTTTTTTGAAGTTTTAAAATCGGTTGATCCGTGTTCCCGAAATCGTCGACGAAAATTTGTATCCGCACACACACACGCACACACACACATACATCCATTTTTTCTAAGGTATGCCAAAATATTCAGAAACTTTTAAAACGTGAAGATATATAAAAATATACATTTTCGATTTTTTTGCGATTACTATAACTTGCCCTACGGGAAGTTAACTAGATTTTTGAAAATTTTTAAAATTTTTGAAATGTTTTACTTTTTTGAAAAATTTGATTTTGATTTTGCATCTTGAATACTACTTTCATATCAATCCTATCTTCTCAATATGGTCAGAAATGGTTTGCTAAGCTGAATCTGCGATTGCGAATTCTTTCTGCGATTTCCAACATTTTACCAACAACATTGTGGTCGATCAAAAGATGCAGAAAAGTCGAAATCACCTGTTTCAAATTTTTACTCCCATCTTTTGTATGTCTCATCAAAAACTCTACCTTAACAAGCGCTATCAATAAATTTATATATTTCCTTATTGAAATTCGTGTAAACGTATAGAGGGGTATAATTTTAAATTTAAGACTAATGTAAATGCACTTAATTATAGTTTATAGTTTAATATAGTATATATAGGATTTTATTTTTTGCACTAATGTTGGATATTTTTAATAATTTTTATACAATTTCATGATTATTGCCATACATTCAGTCATAACTATTAATCTTATTCATCTAATATTTGTTTAAAATAAGAGAGATTCTAACAATTTGTCAAATTGAGTGTATCCCAGTTCTGTATAGAAAAGTGTTAGTGAGGGTATTTTAGATAATGAAAGTTGTGAATGTGTTATATTATAATTTTTCACCGTAATTCCACAACGTTTACCACAATGATTTATTATGTAAGAATATTTAATGCACTAACTCAAACGCAATGTGTAAAAGCGTAACTGATTGTTCTGGTAATGTTATCTCATTTTTATCTCTATTATTAGTTTCATAATTAATTGGCACAAAGTGTTACAATTGAGTATATTATATATTATTGAAGTGTTCCAAAATATTTTGTTCATGTTACTCTCATCATCATCGATTATCAAATTCAAATACGAATCTCAAGAATGCTGACCAGCCCTTTTCCTATGCTGGAATGTGGTGATCAATTTTAGACATAAGATAAAGCGCTGACCTTCGAACGATTTTCCTGAAGGAAAAGAAAGTTATAATGGATTAAATCACTTAAAGTTGCACGGTTTAGATGTAGCATCAAAAATATCATATGAGAAACTTCGCGTTCAATAAGAAACTTTTTCTATGAATAAATTTCTTTACTTTCTGATAGGGTCTTCGCTGTAATTTTACATCTTTTCAGATTGTTATATGAATTGAAGCAGAAAATATTTACTACACTATCATGATTTTTCACTTTAACATTACATTTTAAGAGAAAATGTAAAGATAAGAGTTCAATCTATAAAGAAATATGATTCTGATTTGAAAATATATTTGTGATTCGATTTTCATACAGAAATGTAGCCTACGTTTACCCGCTGAAAGTATTGACAAGTGGATAAAGTTTCCATAAAAAGGACGGCTGAGATGGTTTGGATGCTTCAAAGAACTTTCGATTCGTACTTTTAATGCGCAGAACCCTTTAGGAAAGAGAGGCTCAGCCGTTTCAAATATAGGCGGAAAAAGAGTTTAAAAAAATTACCATTTTGAAACAAAAAATAAATATTTGATATGTTTATATCAAAATATCATATTCAAAGGACTGTTAATGAACATAATAATTTGTTGAATTTACTAAATTTTGGGTCCTGTATTTCTAAAATTCTTAAAAATTTCATACAAACGACTATTGTGCAAACACACCTATTTTGTTTATATAATCAGAGAAATTAATCGAGAAGGCACGATGGCTATTTAATATAACAAACACCTGCAAAGATAATCTTATATGCAATTGTCTTTTAGATATGAAATATAAATAACTTTGTAACTTGCTTATTAGAACTCGATTGACACGATCGCTTTACTCAAGTTACTATAAACAGTACGGATATCCAACTCATTGTTCATTGTGTTTTGTATATAATAAATAATGATACATTTATTGTTTTAGATCAACCAGAAAATATTTGTTATTTCGTATAGATCCAGGATAATTTTAACTTATTAACTTCCCGTATCAAATTATCAGATATTTTATAGAGATTTTAAACATGAGCACTTGTTACAAGTTTTTTAATTTTTAAAGTGCACTTTACGGTTCAAACAAACTTCAAAATTTTCAGATTTTTTTCCCAAAAGTTTCAATAATAGGTAAAGTTTTATGCTTTAAATATTAATTTTGAATTCACAATTAAGTTTAAAAATGTATATATTTCATATGCGTTATTGTGATCGTAAGAAATATATCCTCAAATGGATTCATTCCGCATCTCTTCTTAATGTAAACATTTTCAAGTGCTTTGAGCGATAAGATCGTAACTGTTTTTTATATAAACGAATATATAATAATAGTAACTATAATTATCTCTTTGAAAATATTTCAAACAATTGTTAATAATCATTGATCAATATTTATCGATTATTAATTTTTTTGCTCGAATATTTAATACTGGTACCGGAAGTTCCAGCAATTTGCCTTAAGGCACGATGACATGCACCACTGGTTTTATTATCTTCTTAAACAATTTTGAGATAGAAGATTGGATGAAGTTAGGTCGACAAGAATCATTTATTATTTCAGATTATATGATATAAATGGGTATATCGCCCAAAACTTTATTTTCAAGCTAATGGAAACCTAATCTAATCTTGTCCACCATCAGTTAATGTCTTTTTACTTCTCTACTTTCTGCGCGCTCTAACGTCATTATATATATATATATATATATATATATATATACTCGTATATATATATATATATATATACGAGTATTACGTAGCAAAATCTTCAGGACAATACATAAAAACTAAAAATTCTGGAAGTTTATAAAATCTTTATTAAACTTTATATTCATATTATTTATATCATTCTCAGTGGACTAATAATGAAAAATAAGAGAGACAGAATAAGAATAGTTTGAGTACTTTTAACCCTTTCCACTCGCGAATTCCGAGTTTTATATGAATTCTGCCGCCGGAGCGGCGGCATCCTAGTGGATAGGGTTAATTACATTTAAGAAAGCGCTATTACATTCCAAAAAGTTTTCCCAAAAACCAATACAAAACTAGTTATTCACTTATATTTTCTTAAAATGATTTTTTGCAGCCGAATAGTCCAAATCTTTTACAAAGCTTATAAAATTACTATATTACTATGAGATATAATATATATAAGAAATGAATCAATACATACCAAACCAGGAAAAAACACACAAGACACAATGCCTTTAATGAAAAAAAAAAAGATAAACTAAAAAGTTCTCTTTCGTTAATGAAAAAAAAAACGATAAAATACAATAATAAACTAAATGTTAAATAACAAGATTATGTGGTTAGTCATATAATTAACAAATGGAACGCGAATGCAAGATCCAAGGTCGACATGCCTTATAAAAACAAATAGGGTTCACAAAAGCTGATCCAGGTTCGAATTCTGGTAAATAGCTAGTTGAAAGGAAGGTGAATCAAGGATGGGAGAAAACACAAATGAAAATAAAACAAATTATTAAAAATATTAAATATAAAAACAAAAATATAAAAAATATATAGTAAAAAATAATTAATTGCAGAAGTTAACTAAATCTAGATAAAGAATAGAAATTGAACAAAAACAACAAAAGTTTACAATGAGAAATTGGAAGCAATTGTGTAATATTGATAATATTATGACACGTATCATCTACAAAAAGGGCAGAGATACGTTTTATTTACATAAAGAGAACGAGCGACAAGTATACTTGACACAGAATGCCCGACACAGCCGGGCGTCACGTTTAGTGGACGGCTGTAATATGAACGCTCAGCGTACGGACGTTGCATGCCGGCTGTGAGCGACGTTACGCGGCTAATAGGCTAATAGGATAAAAATAAATATATGAATTATCATTTTCATTTTGATTATATTGTCATATTTCTGTACATTGTTTTTTCTACAATGTTATTCATTTTATATAAAAAAAATCCACCATCTTCTGTTGTTCTTAAACATATTGTTTGCTTAAATCTTATCAAGATCATGTTTCTTGACAGATTTTCTGAAGATGGAACGTACCTAGTTCCGAAACATCAACAGTAAATAAATAAAGAATTGTTTTTTTTAATTTTTTTGTTTTTTATTACTTTTTTGATTCTTTTTTCGAAGCGCTACAAAATATTTACAAATCCAAGACTCTACCATCTAATATATATATATATATATATATATATATATATACGTGAATTTATTTTTAATTAGATTTAGGTAATATATGAATACGTAATTAATTACATAAATATTTGTATTTCAGTATATCGGTACGATGGAGGTACCACGGCCTTCTAGTCGAATGGAAATTGTTACAGCGATGCGCCGCATACGGGTGAGTAGATGTTTAGAATGTTAATTAAAAATTTTAGAACTTTTAATTAATGAGTTAACAAATATTTTATTTTTCACTTCAGAATTTAAATTACAACATTTTTAATTATTTTAATAACTTAACAATTTTTATGAAAATATTATGTACACAAAATTTGTTTCAAACTTCGCTTAAATTAGGATCTATTATATGCTTAATTCTAATATCTTTTATTGAGTTGTTAGAAATTTAAAATAAAGTGAAAGATATTCTGTATTTTACAACGCGAAGAGTAAGATTAATTGAAATATCAGTTGTACTGTGAGAAAAATGTTTTATTAGATTTGGTGTTGTAATGGACAGCTGTCGAGCAGGAGAGAAAAAGATTACACTTTTTTTAGAAACTTAAACATTTATATTTTATTTGGTGTTCATACTTCAGAAACCTATTTTGGATTATGTTGTTTTCTAATAACATTTATCTTGCTATAAAGTTTTAACCGAAACATTCGCTTTTTACGTATACTTTTTTTATTCATTTAAATTTTGTTTAAGTCAGAATATTTATTAATTGCTTATCAATATTATATTCTTAATTCTTTTGATTTGCCGGTTCTTAGTTAGGATCAGGTTAAATACTCATAGATTATTATTATGTATAATATGCTTACATTATGAACATGGCAAAACTGTAATATTGAACTAAAACTGATTTCTGCTTATAGTTGATATGTTTCACTTTCATAATATACTTTTATTAAAATGTCTGTTCTGTAAAGTTAAGAATATTTCAAAGTAGAGGGAAAAAGATGTACTAGCCATCACCTTGATTCTTACGACGTAGCTATCGGGAGATAAGCTTTCGGTATTAGTTTTTCTTAGTTGTGAGCACTGTTGTTTAATTTACAAGACCTTAATATAATTTTTAAGAATACGTTATTCAATTGTTTTATGTCAACAATAAATATTTTTTTTAAATTTTATTTTCAATAGCAATCAGAATACATGACAGTTCTATTAGCTATTTGGCTTCACTCGCACACATACACACACTTTCAACCACACATATAAATTAATCTGACAAATATTACAAATAAAGAATAGCAAATGAAAAAGTAAATAATGTTATAAAAGCAATTTTATAAGAGATAAATTAAATAAATAAATATTTCAACTTTGCTGATAAAATTTCTGACGAAATACCAGTACAGGTTGTCTTTGTAAAAAAGTAACAATGAAATTTATATTTTGCATGTCCTGTTTGTCCCCTGGCCTTTCCAATATACCCCTCTTATAATATAAAAAAGGACCACGTGACAAATTTTGCAAATTTTTGAAAAACAGCAACAAAAACCGATTTCTACAATGATGAATTAGCTGGAGTTTTACTGAACATAGGTCAGATCATTGTTTGTTTGATAAGTGTTATTTGTTTGATAAGTGTTATTTGTTATGATATAATTTATTTGTGTTCAATTCAATCAATTAAGTCAAAATGGACCTTTGTGCCCCTCTATAGCCTAAAGTATTTTAATGATTTTGTGTTTTGTCGGGTCTTTAAATGTCATAGTATATGAAAGAAGCCAAATTAAGGCTCTAAATGCAATCACCTTAAATAAAAGTTATTATTTTTAGTACGATTGCAAGGCTAAAAATGTCAAAAAGAAAAAGGTGAAGCTGGAAATCTCTGTCGACGGTGTTTCTGTCACACTTCGTAGGAAAAGTAAAACTGTAAGTATAATGTTTGTGTTCATAAAAATGAAAAAGTTTTTCTCATTCAATTATGAACTGAAAAAATGAAATAATAGAATTATTTCTAGTACCTTCTGGGATAACATGATTATACTTTGTGCAAGAGAAAAGTTCTTCAGATTAAATTTATGAAGCTAATTTTCAGCTTTATTACAGATCACGTTTTCCAGCTAAAATTTATTTAAATATTAATAATAATCTTAATAGTGATATTCGGTATATCAGTCCTTTGGAACATTTAGTTTACAGTATTGATTCAACTATATTTATTTCACAGAAACAGGGTTGGGTCGAGGACCGAGGACCGGAGTTAATGCAGCATCCAATATATAGGATATTTTATGTATCGCACGATAGTAGCGATTTAAAAATATTCAGTTACATTGCGCGAGATTTGGATACTGATTGTTTTCGCTGTAACGTTTTCAAAAGTAATAAAAAGGTTAGTAAAGTATTTATCTATCACACTGAATATTTAGTATTCTGCAATTCATATTTACCATTAGAGATAAAGATTTATAAATGATATACAGTCAAACCTCCGATAACACGGATTGCATACTACGCGTAGAGCTGAAATTGCGACACTCTTCCGATAACACGGTACTCCTATAATACGGTTTTTGTTCAATACCCTTAAGTTTTTATCGCGCAACTTATAAATAACTTTAGTGACCAGATATTGTTGTAAAAGGTTTTATAATAGGTGTTATTTTCGTACATTTTCTCTTTTTTAATATGTTTATATAAACATGCCAATTTATATCATAGCTGACATCGGACTTGGTAGTGTCAGAGCTTTTTTGCAGAGCGTTAGTTTTTCTAAAAAAAAATAACTGATTGTTTTTATTTTGTAGCATATTCCCATATAAACTACTCAATTCAATAAAAACAATTTATAATTAATAATGTCTTTTATATATATATATATATATATATATATATATATATATATATATATATATATATATATATATATTGGTCTCTATAGAACGCGGTATAGTGTGATTAATTCAGAATTTTTTACAGCGCGGTTTCCATATAACGCGATATTCTGTAGAATGTGCCACGAATTAACCTGGTACGTTAAATCCGAGTTTCTTATTGCACGGTTATTACTTTACACGGTACGCACACACCGCGTTATAGGAGGGTTAACTCTACCTCGGAATAATATTATAAACACAAATCGATTTTGATCAAATTTATATTTGGATTTTCTGTATATGAAGTCAACTAATAGAGTGCGATAAATAAAACAATAATGAAATAAATAAAATACATTTTATATTTTTTGGATATGAGTTGTAAAATTGCTTGAAAAAGTTTCAAAAATAATTATTAATGGTCAGAAGATTATGTATTTTTAAAACCATTTCTTTTTCTATAGCTTTACATGTGGTCCATTTCAGGGCTGGTGTAAAAATTACTATATATTAAAAAAATATTGATTATGATCTTCTGAGTTTTTTGTGTTGTATTTATATTTTTTCATAATATCCTATTCATTTCAAATCTATTTATTTCTATTAATGGCCTTGAATCTCGAAATATATATATATATCATAATTTGGTCCTGATTGCATGTCATAATGTTGAACGAAATAAAAACATTATGGGTAACTTCATTCATTTAGCTAAGAGAAACGACTAACTTTGACTTAGAGTCTATTAATAAGTTGGGTGAAAATAGATTTCTACGGCGGAAGATCGTAAAATAAATAGATCGACGCTCTATTCTCTAACGAAGTTTTTGGAAAAGTAGTTAAATGTCTAATTTTCACTTCTTTTGACATAATAGTTTACGTCATATTGAAAGAGATCTAAAACATATTATGATGAAACTAACCATGAACTAAATTGGTCAATCGTCATTAATGTATGGTACTTTAAGTGTCTACTTTAAACTTTATTATTAATAATCCAATCTCTGTTTTTCGCAAATTTATTTTTAAACAACTATAGAGTTTTAAAATATTTACTTTTAATTTTATATTTAGTAATCTTTTTTATAAAACAAGAAGTAAAAGTGAGAAATATAACCACAAGTTGTTTTCCATTTTCCCTTGTTTTTTTTTTTTGACAAAATGTTAAGTACAAATTTATGTTTCGAAAAAATATCATTGGGAATGTGCTATAATGCTATGAAAATATAAACTAAATTAAATAAAAACAATCATAAGCATTTCAAATAAGTAATGAAAATATATGATTAAACATTCAAAGTGGAAGTATTCTTTTCTGAAGAAAAGAAATAATATTATTTTTTATTTTTTATAATAGCTGTAACTATCTCTTAGAACCAAAATAATTTACAATAGAAATAAAAATAAATAATATTTGCTCTCTATATATTTTTTTCAGAAAGAAACTTTAAGTGGTCCTTAAATGGTTCTATATATCAGAAGAGTGGAGTATAAAGAAAATTATGGTTAAATTTAAAAAATATTAACTTTAGTGGCAAATTCTCCGATAAAATATAAACGTTATGATAACACTATATTATGGGTTTATCGTATTTGCTGTGCGATCAGGCGTTTCACGCATAAAAACTAACCTACAAAACGAACGAACGTCAAATAACAATTTTATCGTAAGTCTTTTTGATAACACATACGTGAAGTTAGGTTTTATGTGCAAAGCGTCTGATCGCTGACAACAAATATATAGATTTTTGTTAGTACAAACAGTTTGTTGGTACAGCATTATTAGTGTAGGAATTCAGGAGCTCCGAATATATCTATGGAAATTATTCATTTAATTTACTTATATCTAGACTGAGTTATATCACTCGTTCGAGTGTTTTATTTAACGAGATATTTTGTAAATTTGTAGCTCAAAAAAGCATCATCTGTGATTTTTAAAACGCCACATTCATTTATTTGTATTCGTATCATTTTTTTTCCGGAGTTACAACTTCAAAAGATAAGAATGCTACAACTGATCCGAATTCCTACATGTGTCCGACTCCGGAGATTAAATTATGTACGTGATGTGTCCTTACATGTTCGTACAGAATGAGCGATGGCAATGATGGCATATACATTTTATGGTTTCGGGATTATCGAAGAGTAATCAGAGGATATAGTGAGTTTAATCAATATGCCGTTACGAACATTATTCAAAATTATATTTTATTTTCATTCAATCTCTTATGTTTTTGAGGACAAAACGCTTTTTACGGTAAATCAAATGTGATTTGAGTGTATGTATTTATTTAATTAAACAAAAATGTCGTTTAGAAAACCGGTTTTCGAATAGAACATTTTTCTAAAAACCGGTTTACCCGGTTTTCAATTTTTATAAATTGAATAATTTGAACACATAATTTTAACAGAAAATTTAGATTGGTTAAAAGCAGTTTTTGTCTGAAATTATTTGCTATTTCATTCTATTGATAATAATGCTTATATGCAATTTAGCAGTACAAAAAAATAATAATTAACCAGGATTTAACAACTTTAAAAACATTTGATTATTCGTTGTTCACGCTTAATTTTTACATATAAGGGCGTAAATATTTCTGTAATATTAAAATAAAGGACGGCTATTAATTTGTAACAATGATTTCACCAATTTGGTAAATTTGTTATTTTCATTTTTTTAGTCTTATTTATACATTTAAAACAGGTATTTTACCCTGCCGTAAAATTTTCCAATGACTACACTGAGTGACAAAAATGGCACTTTTGTATTTTTCTTCAAACTATTTTTTTAAATCCACCTAGAATTGTACGCTGATATCAAATATATCTTTCGTTTTACCGTAACAGCTCATATTTTTGCGTTTTGGACAACTACCCCCATTAGTCATTTCGGCTATGATTATCACAGTTTTTAACCAAGAGTTTTGAATTGAGAGACCAAAGATAAAATAGAATACAGGAAGAGTTAAAACTGACATATTCGGTGGTCCTCAAATTAGGCAACTCATAAAACAATAAACGACCCCTATCCATGCCAACGATGATCAACATAGAACATTAAAATTTTTTGCCTACCAATGTAATGGATTGAGAGACCAACGATAAAGGAGAATACAGGAAGAGTTAAAACTGATATATTCGGTGATCCTCAAATTAGGCAACTCATAAAAAAATAAACGACTTCTATCCATGCCAATGATTATCAACATAGAACATTAAAATCTTCTGCCTACCATGTAATGGATTGAGAGACCAACGATAAAGAAGAATACAGGAAGAGTTAAAACTGATATATTCGGTGATCCTCAAATTAGGCAACTCATAAAAAAATAAACGGCCCCTATCCATGCCAATGATTATCAACATAGAACATTAAAATCGTCTGCCTACCAATGTAATGAATTGAGATACCAACGATAAAGGAGAATACAAGAAGAGTTAAAAACTGATTCATTCGATGATTCCCAAATTAAGCAACTCATAAAAAATCCACGGTTTGTTACTTCCATGAATAAAAAAATAAAATGGAGAAGGAAACGAATATATCACCAATACATCAGGACTTTCGTGATGTGATATCAAGGAATTTGGGACGTCTACATGATGGCTGATAAATGTTGAAGCTTACGACGAAATCAGTGAGCAAGGGTTCCATGCTCAAAAATTATGTGAAAAAACTTTTGTAGGCATAAAATAAAATATGTGTTTTAGTAATTTGATGTAAAACTAGCACACTGGCATATCTCAAACACTAGAGCTGTTGGCAAAATTTTGTTACTTTTTTCGGAATTGGCGTCATGAAATTACTTAAAAACCATCATAACATCTCAGGAAACAAGTTTACTGTCGCGCAGTGTTATCAATGAAAATTTAATGAAAATTAAAAATGATAGTTCTAAATAACTAAAAATCGCCATAAATTAGTATTATCTAGCAAAATTTATGAAACTGTCGTCTATTGGCGACACACAGGTCTTCGAGCAGATGTCGTTCATAGGCAACTCAAAATTATTTGAGTGTTCATGTAGTCGGGACGATGTCAATAACTTAATCCCACAATAGCAAATTAGAATTTTCAATAATTTAACTCAGAGTGATAAATATTGAAGCAAAGTAAGACATAATGCATGTCATCTATAGGCGAGGTTCGTACACATTGGTCGACAAGCTGATGTCGTCTATAGGCGACGCTCGTAACGAAGGGTCAACTGTAATGCTTTATATGCTAAGTAAAGAGAAAGTACATATATTAAAATCTACTCCTAAATATTCTCGAAATGTTTCCATGTATTTATGTAATCCAGATGATGCCAATAATCCGATAAACTGCAATTTTCCCTCAACATCGACAACATCGGTCCATCACTTTGCCGACTTGATCAGAGCTTACAACTGCTTAATTTTACGTTAGTTATGTTTCGCCTTAACCCCGCATATGTTTGACGCTGTGTTATTTATAGTTTTCGTGTAGTAGAATAGTTTCGAAACTATCTCGGCGTCTATTCAGTTATACAAG